GGTACAGGGTTTCTTTTGGGAGGTAATAAAACATTCTAAAATTGATTGTGGTGATAGTTGCACAGCTCTGTGAATATACTAAAAGTCAGAATATACTAAAATTCTCTTTGGGTGAATTGTGTGGTATGTGAATTATACCTAATAAAACTGTTAGACAAAACAATGTCCTGACTCCAACTCTAGTGCTCTAGGGCACTGTCCACTGTCCACTGCCTTCCCCAGTCCTGGGAGCTGGAGTCAGGCTGAGCCGGGGTCAGGTCCCTACTTGTCCATTCCGCTAGCTTGTCCTACTTTCCCTTGACAGTGTGCTGACTTCCCTTAGCCTTAGGGGCCACCTCTGTGAAATGGGCATCAAAGAGAGAAAATGTGACTAATGGAGGAATTACATAGAGAGCACTGAGCACAATATCATGCTGGCATGTGCTCAGTTAATGTTGGTCATGATCAATATGTGTCAAAGATTAATAAAGAAAATAAGAAAAAATAGCAACAATTATTCCTCAGCTAAGACATAATGGAAGTGGATATTTTTGTGGATTATTTCCTTCTTCCCAACACAGCAAAGCTTCTTTTTATTGGGCCCATTCCATCAATATCAAAGAAATAGCCACTCCAAAGAGAGATGTGAATTTCTTCCAAAAACGGAGTTTCTCTAATACCCATGAGCCTCCAGATTGATCGCCAGAGGACGACAGAGCCATTTGGAGCCCCGTGGAGTTCCAAGCCTCCCAACCTTGGCCGGACCTTCCCGGGCTCCTTGGGCACACCAGACACTGAACTTACATCGACTCCAGCAGCTGCATGTACTGCTCGTCCCCTCGGCCGCCTTCCACCTCGTGGTCCAGCTTGAGGATGATTTCATTTTCAAACTGAAGAAGTAAAAGACGAAAATCAACAATAACAGCATTAGAAGCCTGAATGTTGAAATTAGTCAATTTGTTATTTTAAGCACAGTTTTAGAGAGCAGCTATTAACTCCGAGACTTAGTGCTGGGATCTGAAAATGCAAAACAGAACAAGAGACTATGTCTGCCTTTTAGGAGTGCCCAGAGAGTGGAGGGAAACAACAGATAAGTGCTAGAGCAGAGAGATGGGAGAGAGAGAGAGAAAGGAGAGTAGGAAAGGCTTCTCAAAGCCCGTGTCGTTCAAGCTTGTTCTCAAGGGTTAAGCAGAAATTTTGCAGGAAGATGAAAAGGGAAAGGGCACGTCAAGCAGAGGACACAGCAGCTGTGAAGGCACGGAGGTATGTGATGGAGCATTGCATCTTCAGGGAATGGCATGTTGTCATGGATAGCTATTAATTCTGCCTGCCTAGTGGTTCTTTCTCCATTCTTTGGTGATCACAGCAGCCCTAATCTGAGTCTATGGAGCTCAGGTGGGCTGATTACATATCCCTAGCTCCAGGTGTGGAGGCCTGACAGAGGCCTAGCTTCTAATCAGCATATGCCATCACCCAGACCCCAGGACGAATAAAGGCCCAGGCCAAGACAGCAAGACTCTAATCTGAGGCTTTGTTGGAACTCTTAGCAAAAATAGTCTTTCTGCTCAACTTGAAGATGCAAAGTTATAAGCCTGAGGCTGCTGGAGATGACCACACTGAAAAAGAATCACACCAATACAGAGGAAAGCAGGGAGGAGATGGACAGAGACTGAGACCTGATGCCATGTGGAGCCCCTGGATTCAGCCATACCTGAAGCTTTCCCATTTACATGTTACATGAGCTGCTGTGTGTGTGTGTATATACATACACACATATATGCATACATATAGGAACACATATACATATACACACATACATACACATACATGCATACACACAGACACACAAGGGTACTTCAAAAAGTTGGTGGAAAAATAGAATTAAAAGATAATAGAAATCTTTCCATAAACTTTTTGAAGTACACTTGCATGTATAGTTTGAATTGATGTTTTATTATCTTGTTACCTACGACCCCCCCAAAATGCTGAAAAATACATGTAAGAAATGCCAGGCTTCTGAGAGTCAAGACTAATGACAACTGCAATGGTCAGAGATCAGACCAGGTAAGCAAGTAAAAGCAAGTATCCACCAAAGCTTGTCACACTGAGGCCAGAGAACGTCTGTCTCTCTACTTTCAATGCCAAGAAGAATTTCACCCAGTGGGGTTCACGGATGACTCAAGATATTCTCCTGAAGTGTTATACTGTCTCTTTTACGTGGCTGTAATGCAAAACAGTTTGTACTGTTCTAGTATCATACCCTGAAGAGTCCATCCAAATCATGCAGTACCCCCCTCCTCCATGTTACCATTAACCTTGCATCTGGAGAGGGGAAGGAGGTCCTTGGTGAAGGTCACCAAGGTCAAGAGAGGCCTTGGGGACTCCTGGCTCCTGACTCAGCCTCTTTACACTCAGTCTTTACAACACTCCATGAGGTCTGAAAGTTGAGGATCACCTTTAAATGTGATAATGTGGAAAAAGCAGCCAGCCTTGCTTGGCACAACCTTCAGTAAGTGTCGGTTGTTATTACAGATGAGGAAGTTGGGGCTCGGAGAGTTTAAGTGACCTGTCTAAAGTCTCAGATGAATGGCAGACACCTTTTGCTAGACTCTTTCCTGTGCATAAGGGATTGAGCCCAGTTGAGTTGGAATCTTTAGGTGATGAAAAGGCAGAGACCAGATTCACTCTTCCCTCTGCTTCACATATCATCCGTGATGCCATCCTTCCCTCACTTTTGAGCGCTAAAGGTCGAAGGGAGGGAACAGAAGCTTGTGCTGATACGGCACAAATGCAAAACAATTTCCCGAGTTGCCACAGTTGGGGAAGACTTATTGAGGAGATATAACGGTCCTGGAAAGATGGGTAGTGTTGTAACAAATATGAAAAGGACATTCCAGGTGCAGGGAATGGCGTGCGCAGAGGTGTGAAGATCAAATGTAAAGAAAAACGAGGAGCTCAGTTCAGCTGGAGCAGAGACTCCAAGAAAGAAAGGAAGGGAGGAAATAAAACAGAGGCCTAGAGGGGGGCCAGCTGCAGAGGGTCTGCGCTGCCAGTCTGCAGATGAGACAGACCCCTTATATGATGCATCTTGTCAAGCATTTTGTTTATGTTAAGTATTATCCAACATCAGGGGTTGGGGACTACCATGCTTAGAGGTGTCCACTGTGCCAAGCCTAGGGCAGGAAGAAATACAGCAGAGGGACTGCAAGAATGGCCCTGCCATTAGGCTGTCTGGCTTTAAATCCCTCCTCCCTTCCCTCCACCATCTTGGGAAAGCTACTAGGCCTTTCTAATCCTCAGTTTCATGATTTATATCGGGCAGTCAAACATTTTCCAGAAAGGGCCAGATCGTAAATACTTTAGGCTTTGCGGGCCAGACGGTCTTCGTCACAGCTACTCAACTCTGCTGTTGTAGCTCAAAAACAGCCATAGCCAATGCATAGACAAACTGGCATGGGTGTATTCCAATAAAACTGTATTTACAAAAACAGGTGGCAGGATGGATTTGACTTGCAGGCCATAGTTTGTCAGCAGCTTATCAATATAATGGGCATAATAGTAGTACCTACAGCATGGAGTAGTTAGGAGGAGCAAAGATTTTTCTACGTAAAGAACTAGGCAAGTGCATAAGCTCAAGTGTGCACTGTGCTAGCTCGACTTATTATTACTGTTAATGTTACTGTTATGAGTGCTGAATGTTACTAGAAAGCAGCTCTAGGGGAGAAAACCAGCAGTTTTTCCTGTCTGAGTGGTTCGCTGGGAAATGCTGGCACGGTTTCTCCTGGTGAGATGAACTTTTCTTTGGAGCGAAGAAGTGGATGGGGTAAATAAGCACTTGTCTCTGGGTCACAAAAGAGCCTGCCAAGAGGGAAATTACAGGGTGCCAGGGAATGAGCAGAGCCACATGACACCATGCCATGCCTGAGCCCTGTGGGGTGGGTTGGAGGGCTGAGATTTGGGTCAGGCACTTCCCAGGGTGAGCACTGAGCTGGAGAGTAGCTAAGACCACATGCCTTGGCATCAAAAGGACTTGGTTTGAGTCTTACTTTGACTTTTTTCCCAGCTGTGGGACCTTGGGCAAATTAATAAATCTTTCTGAGGCTCAGTTTTGTCATCTGTTAAATAGAGAACTACTTCATTGTAGTGCTGTGTAAGAAGTTAATAGGAAAATATATGTAAAAGGTCATGCACGGCACTTCACACACAGTAAGTGCTCAATAATTATTAGTGATGTCATCATGTTATTGTCACTGTTGTGTTTGTCATTGTCATCATTGTTATCATTGTCAACATTGTTAGCATCATAATCTCATTTAATCTTTACAACAGCCAAGGAGATGGATATCATCATCCCCATTTTTCAAATGAGGAGACTGAGGCGAAGTAGGACCTTTGACTTGGCTTTCAAAGGATGGGTGATCTTCAGCTAGGATGTGCCCAAGGGTTCCAACACAAGAAGCCTCTCCCAAATATACAAGGGCTCTTC